AAATGTTAAAGATAATATGGAAAGGGTCCATTTTTGTCATCTTGGTAAAACTCAAGGGACCACTACTGCCGTTTTCAGAACTTGTTGTTGATGCCTCCTAAAAACTAACATTTTGTGTGTGTGTGTATGGGGTGTTGTTTATACGTTTGTGGACCTGCAACATTTTAGGTGATCGAAAGTTGAAGGAATCATCCACTTTTACCCATATATACGTGTGTGTGTGTGTATATATATATATTATATATTATATATATATCTATATATATATTATATATAGCCTTAGGTTATTCTATTCAAAGTAATTATTGTGTTATTGTATGCATAAATGTGGGCCAATCAAATTTACTTATTTTAAGAAAGTGATTAATATATATTATTGAATTAAATATAATTAAAAAATATCATCTTAATTAATTACAAGGGTAATTTAGTCAATTAATATAGATTTAATAAAGGAAAATTGCATTTTTTAAGGGATCATAGATTCTATTAGTTTTAAAAATCCGATTTTACGAATTATAATTCTTTTAATTCGGACATTCTGATAGAATGTGTTTATGAGTATATTCAACAATAAAAATATTCTTGAACCTATTTATTGATCATGACTTTAAAAACTTCTTGTAGAATAACAAATTATTGAACAATCAATTGAAGAATAAAAACAAAAAATACATTATTTTTTATAGAATACGGGTAACAGTTGTTAAGAATTACATTTATTGTTAAAGAATAAAACAAAAAAAACTTTCAAAACGGGAAAGAAAACATCAAAATCTAACAACGACACCAATACATTCTAAAAGAATAATGTTGCTTAGAATCACTTTCAATTTTGTGGTCCGTTCTTCAAGCATCAACTTCTGTGATTCCAACATAATTGGAATTCGTGATTCCATTCCAACAGAATCACTTTCAATTTTGCTAAGAAACACTTTCACTTTTGTTGTCCGTTCTTCAAGCATCAACTTCTTCAAGCATCAACTTTTTCAACCATCAACTTCTGTGAAAACAAATCCAATTGTAGTTTAGAATCCAATAACGCATTAGCAAATGATAAATAAAAAACTATATTCGTTTGGAAAAATATGCGGACTTGTTAATTGCACCAAAACCAATAACCAAAAATTGTAGAACATGTATAATCAATGAGAAAATATCCATATTCCATTCAAACAAAATTAGAATTCGTGTTTCCATTCCGATAGAATTTGAATTCATGATTCCATTCCGATAGAATTGAAATTGTATAAAATACACAAACCACTAAGGGATTACTAGAAAGTATTTTCATAACTACATTTGTAAATGCTCTTCCAGTTTAAAGTCAATACCATATTCGATCAGTAAGAATTGACAACAAAGTTTGAAACCCAGACCATCTCTTCTTTCCCTGTTTCAACATCATTAGCATTGAGAATAGATCCAGCAAACCCAGACACTAAAAGAACCACATCTGAAGCTGGTCATGATGGTTTTATCCATATCATTCCTAAAATCAAAAGAGAATCAAGAAAGTCAATTTATATGTTAAATTAAAAAAAAAAAGGAAAATAGTTTATCTAACAGGAAACAAAAAAGAAGAGTAGGAATACAATCTGGGCAAGATGGTGGATTTTGTGCACGCCAACAAGAAATCGAGAAAGAGAAAAAGGGGGAAATAGATTACCTTAATTTAAGCTTCTGTGGCATCGATTTGTCACGTAGTAACTTGTTTAGGATAAATCGTGTCTTCATCAGGCCCTTCACTTTCGTCCTCTTCAACATCAATCATGAAGCAACAAAACCCTAGAGAGAAAAAGAGGAATTGAGGTGAATCAGAAGGGAACTCAATAAATGGACACAGAAGGGGAACTCATCGAATCCTTTCTTCTTCATTTATGCCTTCAATCTTCCCAGACCTCTCGCACTCGTTCCAGAATCTCCTGATGATCCCTCTTCCGTTGATGATTGGGACGAATTCGGTGAATCAGACGCCGATTGGGGGTGAAGATGTTTTACCGGCGGCCATAGCAGCGAATTGCGGCTGGAGATCGACGACAATAGCAAACAATGGTGGTGGCGGCAACAACAAATGATGGTGGTGGCGATCTTCTGTGGGCGTTGGTCGATGGAGTGACTTCTAGGTTTTATAAACCTGGAGAAATTAGGTTAAAAGTCAATACCATGATTATAGGGATTATTTTTGGTAGTTACTAAACAAATTACTAAATTACCCTTATTATTATTTAATTATTTAATTTTTTTATTTAATTTGATTGGCCCACATTTATGCATACAAAACACAATAAATACTTAAACACATGAACCTATCTCTCTCTCTCTCTCTCTCTCTATTATATATATATAGATATATATATATATATATATATATATATATATATATATATATATATATATATATATATATATATATATATATATACACACGCGCGTATTTATTTAACATATGTTTATCTAATTATTTAAAGTAATAAATAATTCTCTTTACATTTTATATAACTCCATTATTGATTTATTCTACTTATTTATTCTCTATATGGAAATTAAATCTGATAAATACTCTTTTTAATAAATTAAAATGTTAATATGTCTCTATATATACTTATTTTATTATTAGACCAATTTAAAATGATTAAACAAATAACAGAGTATTATAGAATCATTGTCGTATATAATATAACTTTGGTTAGGATTATTTATCCTAAATAATCTTTTATTAACATATCTTTTTATCGCTTATTGTACCTTAACTGTCTAGCCCGAAGTTGCGGGTGTCACATCATGGATCACTATCATAAGTAATACTTGATTAAATGTACTATCTTTGTATCCTTAACACATAAGATCCATAGTGAGACTTAAGTATAGGGAGTATTGTTCTTTGATATTGTCAAATGTTGTTCCTTAACCGAACAATTATAAAAGACATTTTCAGGTATGATGTGAACTATGCAAGAGGCTTATGTAGTCGACATGAGATGTGTTCCTCTTATGTGTTGAGAGTTAGACATCTAATGCATGCTACCCAAAGTTGAACGCCAAATGAGATTGATTATGATACAAGTCTCATGTTCAACATGCTGTATGTAACAAATGGATAACTGATAAACTTACCTTATATACCAATTGAAGCTTTAAGCTTTTGGGAATTGGACGTTGATGAATGACATTCTTCATCATATGTTATTGAGGACAGTGAAATATTGCTAGACGCTCACCACCGTCTATATCAATTTATGATGAGTCGATGTGTAAGTGAGAGATTGAAAAATTTTATATGCCCAAGAGTCATTATAGAATAATATTGTTAATAACATATGACCCTATAAGGTTACACCTTATAACAAGTTACTACTAATTGATTATTTATTAGAGTAGTTTTAATTATTAATAAATATTCAACACTTGTATTTAATTGGAAAAAACATTATTTTGTGAAAATAATATTTTCCAACATATTGAGAATTATTGTTTCTAGGAAATAATAATAAAAGAGAACAAAAACTAGCTAAATATCATAAGGTATGATTATTAATGTTGTGTACAATATTTTGGCCTATTTGAGTAACCATTAAGTTGCAATCTAACTAGCTAGTTATGTGTTAAGTATTAAGCACTACACCTTTTGTCTTTTTTTCATGAAAGCCAAAAAAGCTAGAGGATGGCATGGGAATGCTTTTGCTTTGTTTATTGCTTCCCGTGTGCTTGTAAGAAGAGGCCACACTTTACTTTATGACTTGGTTTGACTCTTGCAATATCTCTTAGTATATAAAGAAGAGAGAGTGATAAAAAGTAGCTAGTTTTTGAAACACTTATCTTCTTATTTTCCTCCCAATTACCAATAACTAAAGGGCTTCCTCCCTCTCTATATCTTGCATTTTTAGTGTATGTCCTTGGATGATTAAGTTGCTTCTCCTTAAGCATGTTTTAGTATATGTCTTAATGGATTAAGAACAACTTAATACAAGTGAAGACTGACATGTTTTAGTAGTTAATTCTTGCTTTGGTTGATACATTAAAGATGAATTCTTATTTGGAGTTGAATGCCATCTTCATCAACTTCCTAATTGTCAAAAGGAACCAAAGACTTCAAAGCTTGTAATCTTTTCTTTTCTATGGTTATTTAATCTTTCTAAGTATTGCAAAATGATCACTGGTGAGTAAAATGGTTTTAGTTTATTTAAATTTATAAAATGCTTTCGTTGCTAATTACGTCGAATTTGTCACTATAATTAGACTATTTTTGAATAAAAACCCAATAGTGTCATCATATATATCCTCAATAAGCACTTTAGCATGGAATATAAAAATATGAATGTTGTTGTGTTTTCTCGTGCTTAATGTATACCATGATCTCTTTATACTTGACAACATACAAATAAGCTTTAAGTTTTTAGGGTTAATGTCATTTTAGCCCTACAAACTTTTCAAGTTTATTTTAAAACATCCTTATTATTATTATTATTTTTTTTTTTGTAATTTAGGGATTAAAATTCGTTTTTACTAGTTAGTAAGGTCACTTGACCCATTATAACAGATTTCACCTCCTCCAACCTCCTCATTTAGATGTGAGTTTGTCTAACAGTCATCCAAAAAAATCACATCTATGTAACTAAACCATAATTTTTTTTCCTTTAATCAAACACAAGTCACAAAAATCGAACATGGGCTCATCACTCCTAATCTAACACTATGCCCTAATTTCACCGGAGGGATGTGATAACAGTTGTTGAATTCTCTCCATATACACAAAGTTTACGGGGAATTTTGCTAGCATTGTTGCATAGTGTCATATCTGCTTGGCATAGTCAAATTGAGGCTTATACATGGAGCAAATACAACCGACATTTGGAATTTAGGTTTGATTTGTTCTTCACATGGGAAAAAAGATGCATTCGGGGCTTGTATAAGATATACTAAGGGTTGTACAGTTTGACTTTGAACAAAGAGAACATCAACTTGAATGCTTCGTAAATCATACGAGGAAATTAACTAGGATGGCCATACATTCAACTACCTTGTTGCAGATGGATTTAGGGAGTCTGATGGCTTTTCTTGAGGGAGTCAAGGAGGATTTGACTAAGAAATATGAGGGTGGGAAAGATGCTACCGACAAAGTCATGTAATTTACTAATAAGACTATTCATACATCTAAATCGTATCTTCAAAGCTTCTTCATCTTCTTTATAATCTTGAGTAAAAATCAGAGGAGATATGACTATTCCCAAGTCACCTGTCATCAATTTCTCCTCACAAACAACATCTAGTCTGTCTAAGCTTTGACCGGAATGAGATCTATTTTTCATTATCTCATTATCATCTCTGGTTCCCCTTTAATTTCTTCAACTCCATTGTTGGATTCATCTCCGATTTTGTTTCCTTTTATTGACAATGGTTTCACTTTCTCAACTTCATTACTTAAATCAATACCCGTACTCCATTTTCTTGATAAAGATCGAGTTTGATATGCTTCTCCAATCTGGACTTCTCTTAATACCATCAATGGAAACACTCTGTACCTTACAATCATATTTCCATGTTTTCCTCTTTCCACCTCCACCGACACCATTAGAGCCATGTTTAGATCTCAAACCAACCTTCTGCATTTTAACAATCTCCCCGGTAGTCTCAATTGGGCTCTAATTCGTTGACTAAGATGACAAATGAAATGCTACATCATCTTGTAATCGACTATTCCCTTCTCCCTTCCAAAAATGACTTATTTGACAGCTAAAATGAAAGTTTAATGACTTATGGTGTTTTCGGCAAAACTAGCTGGTAGCGGGTAGCTAGTAGCTGATAGCGGGTAGTTGGTAGCTAGTAACGTTTTGTTAAACGCTACGTGATGTGCTTTTGAATTTGAAACGTTTTGTTTAAACTAAATGCTAAAAAGTTGTAGTGTCAAACGAAAATTTTCATTCAAAACAGAACGTTTTGTTAAACGCTATAAGCTAGAAACTTACAAACACTCCAAAATGTTTTGTGCCAACACGTCGTTACATAAAAAAAAAAACCAATAACTATTTAAAACAAAAGACAAAAATTCTTTGTGATAAAATGATATTAACCCAAGTTTTTAACCACCAAAGTGAAAAAGAAGCTTTCTTTCTTCCATTTTTATTTACCCGGAGTCACTTGGCTTCTCTGACTCAAAGATAGCTTCCGTCGGCCACTGCTAAAACAATTATTACACCATTTATTAGTATTCAACCATTTAGTATTCGTTCATATATCGTTATGTATTCTCTCTCTCCTCCATAGCCATATCCACAGTTAATTACCCCATCTCTCTCTCTCTCTCTCTCTCTCTCTCTCTCTCGCCATATCCACAGTTAATTACCCCATCTCTCTCTCTCTCTCTCTCTCTCTCTCTCCTGGAGAGATCGTTTTCTCTCGCACCTACGATCTTTATTAGACCCCATCTGATCTAACTCTGACCAGATGACATATTATTGATCTTCTTCAGCTTTCATTCAACAAAACCCACAAAACGAAACATCTGGAAGAACAGCCATCAGCAACAAAGGTAACGGCTTTGTCACGGCAACAAAACCCTAGATACAGATTGATCAATGTTAACAATCCACTGAGTTTGACTTTTTTCTTCAAGTCATCTGACATGGGTTTTTGCTTGTATTCACGTAGTTTTCTGGGTTTCTAAGAATAGATATAGATACACAAATCTTATCAGATCCCAGTATTTAAGCCTTAATGCTTTAGCTCTTTAGGGCTCTGATTATCTTTCTTGAATTTGGGGTTTTGGGGTTTACGGTGATGATGAAGATCTGATTTCCTTATTAACTTTTATGGTCTTATGGCTTTCGCTATTTGTTTTCAAGTAATTATGTAATACTTGCGAATTGATTTGGGTGTTTATGAAGTTAATTTGAAAAAATTAAAACTTTGAGTAACTTTAGATGAATTCGTTTAAGTTCTGATATCAAATTTCTTCCATCCTTCCCGGGAAAAAAAGTATTTGGAATCTCAAAGACAACTTTTTTAATCAATTTTGCACACGATCAGCCACAAACAAACCTAGCTGACTAATTCTGAAATCTTTAAAAAAGAATGGCAATTTGGAATATAAAATTGTCTCTCATTGGCTTTTTTCTTCTCATATTGGTCAAACTTGATGAATAGATGTTCTAAACAAACTTAAACTCAAAGATCCACGTCTTTTCAATATGCTTTGTTTATCTTGATATTTCCTTCCCTCTTGCTTAACCTAATACATTTATAATTATTATTCGTTACATTTGTTTTATAAGTTATAACTTCTCCTTTTGTTTTCATGAATCAGGATTTACATTCACTTGATTTGATTGATTCATGTCAAATTTAAACATTAATCATTCAAACTTGACATGAAGGTGGTTATGATCGTGACCACAACAAGTGTCAAAATCTTGCTATGTCAACAACTATCATGTGATTGAAAGTTGAAACCACTTGACATGACCACAATCTTGTTTCACCATTATTAAAACTTGATTCAGAAATGGAGACAACAGACACAATGATCATAAAACAGCAATCAAACATGACACAAAGACTACTTCCAGCTGTTTTACCAGTTCTTTTTATAGCAATTTCATATATAGATCCAGGAAAATGGGTTGCAACCATTGAAGGAGGAGCCCGTTTTGGCTATGATCTTATCATACTTATGTTTATTTTTAGTTTGGCTGCTGTTCTTTGTCATTACCTTTCAGCTTCTATTGCCATTGTCACAGGAAAAGATCTTGCGCAGGTATAACTTTTTTATAATATTACATCTTACAAATTTCATATTTTGTTAATGAGGTCACTTTTTTAATTTCTTTATGATGATGTAGATTTGCAGTATGGAGTATGACATGGCAACGTGTGTGTTCTTAGGAATTCAAGCAGAACTATCTATGATCGCGTTAGACCTTTCTATGGTAGCTTTTTTTTATTAAATTATCTAGGGCAAATTATAGAAAAACCGATATATTTTGGGAAATTTTATAGTTTAACCATTAAAACTTTATCTTTTTCTTATCAAACCGTGAAAGTTTCAAACATTTTTCCAAAATAAAGGTTCATTTGTAAAAAAGTTTGAAGCTTTATGGTTTGATTGGAATAAATAAAGTATTGGCTAAACACTTAAACTGCAAATTAGCCCAAAGTATAATGGTATTTTTGTAATTTTCTTTTTTAATTTCTTCTACAATCTACATACTAACATATAAAGTTTGCCAAATTTGAAAGATTTTGGGCACAGCACATGCACTAAATCTTACATTTGGAATCGGTCTCTTTTCTTGTGTTCTTTTGACTTCAATTGACGGGTTTCTATTTCCGATTTTCTCGAGTTATTTGGTAAGTTAAATTTTTTTTAATTGTAAATGTTATAATGTATAGCTTTTTTGGACATGTTTTGATTTGATAATAATATTATTTAGGAGACTGGAAAAGCAAAGTTTATATGTATACGTTTAGCAACCGTTGCTTTACTTTCATATCTTTTTGGAGTGTTGATGAGTCAGCGTGACACGTCACTTTCCATGGGTGGAATGCCTACAAGGTTAAATGGGGAAAGTGTGTTTGCATTAATGAGTCTTCTTGGTGCTAGCATCATGCCTCATAATTTTTATCTCCATTCATCAATCGTTCAGGTATATATATATATATATATATACTTTTTTTTTCTTTTTTTTTTTTTTAATTTCGTAAGTAGTTAATATAATAAAAGACGATTATAGATAGTTTTATTTTCACTAATAGTAACAAACTTACATTTCTTTATGTACTATACTTTTACCCGTAATAGCAATGTAAAAGTACTTTTTTACCCTTTATTTGTTAAATAATGCATTTTGTTTTTTCTTTTCTTTATATAGTTTCATCGAGTTCCTGTTTTTTCATACCTTTTGCAGCAAAATCCGGGACCCACACAAGTTTCAAAGCAAGATTTGTGTCATGATCATCTTTTCTCCATAGCCTGTGGTTTCAGTGGCATTTTCGTAATAAACTATATTCTCATGAATTCAGCAGCAAATGTGTTCTACAGCACTGGCCTCGATTTACTTACTTTCCAAGACGCGTTGTCTTTAATGGACCAGGTTACGTTTTTTTATAAATATCATCTCAAAATCTCTTAAATATTTTTAGACTATAAACATTCTTCTTAAATACTTTATGATTTATTAATAAATTCCAGGTATTTAAGACACTTATGGCGCCATTTGCTTTAATTCTGGTTCTACTACTTTCAAATCACACAACAGCTTTGACCTGGAAGTTCAGTGGTCAAACCGTTCTTGAAAACTTTTTCAAAGTCAACATTCCGGGTTGGTGTCATCACTCAACAATCAGATTAATCGCAATAATTCCTGCTTTATTGTGTTCATATCATTTGGGAGCTGAAGGGTCATATCAACTCATGGTGTTCACCCAAATTATAGTCGCCCTTTTACTTCCATCATCTGTGATCCCACTTTTTCGTGTTGCTTCATCAAGATCAATAATGGGTGTCAACAAAATCTCTCAATTTGTTGAGTATTTAGTCTGGATCACCTACATTGGAATGCTTGTTTTGGGGGTTGTGTTTGTGGTGGAAACCGTGTTTGGAAACAGTGATTGGGCGAGTAATCTGAGGTGGACAATGGGGCCCGGGATGTCAGTCCCTTATATTGCAGTTCTTGTAACTGCTTTTTTTTCCATCTCACTTATGCTTTGGCTTGTTGTAACCCCATTGAAATCTGTAAGCACCCGACCCAATTTAAAACGGGTCGAGATTCAAGAAACCCGGTCTACAAGAGTCGATGATTTGATTGAAAAGCAAGAAACGGTAACGGGTTCGGGTTTGGGTTTGACCCGTGAGAATGAATGTGATTCTGATTTTAATTTGCCCGAGGAGATTCTGGATTATGAAAACGGGCCCCATTTGACTACCATTGAAGAAAATTCTTCGGATCTTACGATTGTGGAAACAGTGAAGAAAGAAGACAATGATGATGATGATGATGATTCAGTTGAAAAGAGATTGATAATTGATGGAAGTTCAAGTATTTTGAAAGATCATGAGCGGGACCCATGGGAGCCCGAAGAAGAACAACAACCAAAAGTCGTGTCTGTAACTGTATTGAATCAATTGAATCAATCTCCAACTTCTAATGGGCCGGGCTCATTTAGGAGTCTTAGTGTGAAAACAGACGATATAGGAAGTGGGCCCGGAAGTCTTTCAAAGCTAGCGGGCTTGGGTCGGGCCGCTAGACGACAGTTGGCTACAAATTTAGACGATTTCTGGAAACTTCTTTTTGATTTACATGGTGAAGCCACACAAGATGCTAAAACGAATAAACTCGATAAGTTACTCGGGATAGATTCAAAAGTGAAGCACAGCCCAGGCCCAGGCCCAAACCCAAACCTGGTTATATCCAAAATGGTAAACCCGGAAACCGAATTTAACGGGTTTAACCCGAATGTGTCCACCGGGTTATCCGATTCGGTTTATGTGGTACCTCGTGGGTCGTCTTCTCTATTGTCAAACTATCAACAATTACTTGATGCATATGCTCAAAACCCGGGCCTCAATATGGACCCGGAGAAACGTTACCATAGTTTACGCCTACCACAAGCTTCCGGTGGGTATGCGGATCAACCCGCTACTGTTCACGGGTACCAAATTAAATCCTTAATCAATCAAACTAAACAAAGAAATTCCGATTACTTCCAAATGGACTCGGTTTCTCCTAAATCACCATCAATTGGGAATGCCTCATTGAACTACAAATCTCCGGTTTCTTTAACAAGAACCCAACAAAACGGGTTACGACCCGCGAAACCGCCGGGTTTTCCCGACCCGGTTGTGTCCAGAAACACCTCGATGCAGCCCGAAAGAACTTATTACAATCATCAGCCTGCGGGCCCGGTTGAGAATGTGCACGAGAAGAAGTATTACAGTATGCCAGATATTTCCGGGTTGATTCCTAATCGGGAGTCTAAAGTTTTACCCGAAAGAGACAGCGGGTCGAGATATGGGCAATCGGTGTATCCAGGCCCAGGATCAGGCCCAGGCCCGTTGTACAGGTCCGGGACAATCTCGGGTTATGGCGGGTTGTCTTATTCTAATTTGTCCCGGGATGCTGCTGCCTACCAACCCGTTTCCAGTTACGGTTCGGGGATTGGGTTAGGGTTAGGGTTAGGGTCGGGGTCAGACACGTGGTCAATGTGGTCAAAACAACCGTCTGAACAATTTGGTGTGGCTGAAAAGGTTAATTTGAACACTCAAGAAGCTATTACATCTGGAGTAGATGCTGAAGCAAATCTTTTGAAGTCATTTAGGTTGTGTATTGTCAAACTGTTGAAGCTTGAAGGGTCTGAATGGTTGTTTAAGCAGAATGGTGGGTTAGATGAGGATCTTGTTGACCGGGTGGCTGCCCGGGAGAGATTTCTGTATGAAATTGAGGGCAACGAGGTGACCCGGGCAGCTGCCCGTGGTGGTGGGACCAAAGTTGATGAAACTGAATACAATAAGTATTTAGTGACATCGGTTCCAAATTGTGGTGAGGGTTGTGTATGGAGAATTGAGTTGATAAAAAGCTTTGGTGTTTGGTGTATACATAGAATTCTCGAGCTTTCTTTAATGGAAAGTAGACCCGAACTTTGGGGGAAATACACATATGTTCTCAATCGTCTTCAGGTAAAAAATTATTATTATTATTATTATTATTATTATTATGAATTGATTAAATTGTTTAATCTTTTAGGGAATAATTGAGCCGTCATTCTCGAAACCTCGTACACCATCAAGCGCGTGTTTCTGCCTTCAGCTTCCGGAAGCATACCACCCGCGATCATCTCCGCCCAAATCCATCACCAGTCTGCCGCCTCCGGTGAAACAGAGCAGAGGGAAAACCACCACCGCCGCCAGTCTGTTGGACATAGTAAAAGACGTGGAGACCGCCATCTCTTGCCGGAAAGGGCGACCGGGTACTGCCGCCGGTGACGTGGCGTTCCCGAAAGGGAAAGAAAATCTGGCGTCTGTTCTCAAAAGATACAAGCGGCGGTTGATGGCGGTGGCTCCGGACGGGTATAGCCGGAGCCCGTAAGTCTCCGGCGACTTTTGTGTGTTGGTTTATTGAGTTGTTTGATATTGATGAACAGCTCGATGTTCTACTCTTTTGTTATTAGCTTCTTCCAGGTTTTAGATTTTGTGCATGAGTACACGTGGAATGGTGGATGTTGCTGTAAAAGCCTGTAACTGTTGAAGAATGGGAAGCAAGGAGGTTGATGATGAAGATGGTGGTGGACTGGTGGTTTTTAGATTTGGGTTTGAAGTAGAATAATGGAATGTTTTTAAGTTTTTTTTTTTTTGGGTAGATCTGAATCGATGTCGTTATGTTGTGTAAATATTTTTATGCTAGCGACATGATGTTCTACTATCGAAACGAGACATGTTTTTGGTTTGTTTTTCTCACATAGAAACGAGTATAAACAGAGTCGGATGTTTCAACGTGATTTTTAATAAATTATTTGCTTTATTTGACAACGTCTAAAGCGAGTCAAGGTATTCGTTAACAAAAAGATAAGTATTATCCATATATGTTGGGTTGTTTCGGAAAACTTGTGTGCTTTTGCTTTTTATTTTTTTTAAAGCTGTTTGTGTTAAATATGGTAAAGAGAATTTTATAAAGAAAGAAATGAAGAGATTTATAGTTTGGCGTATTTTTCACAAACAATTTGGTACACTGGCTAAAAAGACACACAACTCAATTTCATATATCATTTTTTTTCTTTTGAATCGGAAGAGAATGCAATTGGATTTTAAGGGTGTCGGAGATTGGTTGATCAAACGGGCGAAGGTTAAACATGTTTTTCTTGATATTTTAGTGAAAAGCTCATAATTTTGGTTGGGTTTACGCTCCAAACCAGAAGAAAGCTCGAGAAAAGCCGAAATGTGTATACCTTTTTCTTTATAAAAAGATATTAGGAAGTGTTGAAAAGATATATGAGTGATGTTATTTTTTGTTAAAGGCCAAATGTCATGTGAATTTTCTTTTATCACTTTGATTACAAAAGTTGCAACCCCTGAGTTAGGCCTTTATTCTGCTGTGCCTGGTCATGAGTATACTGCTTTCCTTAAACCTAACTCTTCTTACCGATTTTCGTCCTATTAGTTTGATTGGTGTAGTATAAGATTATTACAAAAATATTTGCCAATTGTTTTATCTCAAGTGGTTGATATTGTCATTAGTAGAGAGTCGTCGATGTTTATCAAGGAACGCCGAATACTTGACAAATCACTTATTGTAAATGAGACGGTGGAATAGTATAAAAATGAGAAGAAAACAACTTATGATTTTTATTTTTTAATGTTGAATTAAGAAAGACGTATGATTCTCTAGTTGAGATTATCTGGGGCAGATCAATGAGTTAATTTGGTAAACAGAAAGTAATATAGAGTGATACAATAATCAAAGATTCAAAGTTATTGTAATGGTGGAGGCTGAAGCATTACATTGATTAAAAAAAAACTCTTTGTTTACCGCATACAAATATAGAGTGACACATTCCGTATGTGATAATTGTCTAGTACACTGTACAGTACTTGTTATTTTTCATTTTATGAAAAAAAAAATTCTTTTGTTTCATTGTGAAATTAAATGATGTCATAATGATAAACCTTTTGTACTCACATAATTTTTAAGTAAACCAAAATTTTTTAAAAAAAATCAGAACTTTGATTAACTTATTATTTTTTATATTAAAAAAAAATCATAGAATAGTGTTTAATTTGATTTAATTATTTAACTTTGAAAATTGGATTTTCTCCTCCAGCAAAAGTATGTTAAAATGGAAAACCCGCAAGACCACGACTCACTGACATGCCAGAGATTCTTCTTTCTGTTAACCGAATGATACCTTCATCTCCATAATCAAATGAATCAATGGAAGTGTTCTAAAAGGTAAAAACCCTAAAAACACCTCCAGCATTTCGATTTTTCTGATGGGTGAGGATTGAGGAAGTTGCGATTATTAGAATGTACGCGAAAATAGTGATCAATTCCCACTTAATGATTCTTCTTTTAGTTTCGTATTTGCTCTGTTCATAAGAGTTCTAACTCATTTGACATGGTATCATGGTATCAGGACTTGTTTTCGAATGGAAAATACTCCAGGAATGATTTAGTCGCCAATGCTGAAGCAGATGATTGCTCGAGTTACTTGAGTCTTTCCAGAAACAGCTTCATCATCAAATTCTTCCATCTTCTGTGGTAAAACCAAACTGACCCCGTGAGTAAATGTTTGCTATATGCACAATGTTCTGTCTCAATTCTGTGCTATTTATATTTCATTTTTGCTTCTCTCTGTTTCATGCTATGCTGAATCAGTTTACTAGTTGATAGATTCATGTTTAGATCATACAAATATCATAAAAAGCGGCAGTGATCCAACTGAAAACCCTACAAATACCAAATTATCACTATCTCCGTACGGTTCTTACTCTTCCCTCCAAATTCCATCACCACCTCCGCCACCGGCGGCTGCTCCTATATCACAGACTCTATAGGTGCGATCTATCCCTACTATGACTCAGACCAAGGATTTTCTTCTACTTGATTTTTTTATCTTCAGTCCAAGCTTTCATGTTGTTTCTCATGATTCGCTTTCAGGGGATATCAGAGTTTTTGTATAGTGATATATTGATATCTGAGTTGTATTAGTTAGTATTAGGGTTTATTAGCAAATGCCTAACAGCCTGAATATCCCTTGTATGTCTCTCTCTTCACTTTGTAGAAAACAGTATATGTTGTCTATGTATGCATATATGTGTTAATTTAGGGGTTTTTGGTGTTTTCTTAGTTATGCCCTTTTGTATAAATTATTATGAGTTTACACATACATACATATATACATGTCTATTCATCTGTGTATGATTGTGTTATGTATGTATGAATGCAAGTCCATGTTTGTGGCCTTACCAAGAAACCCTGTGACTTTAAGCATGAAATTCCATGCATCTGTATGAAGCTTTCTGCATTTCCTAACTAAATTTTGGCATTATTGTTCATAAATTGTGGGACAAAAAACTGATGCCATTTTATAGCATGACATATACAAAGATTTATGGCTGAAAAAGTATAGTAGAGATGGATATTCAATAGAGTATTGAACACAATGTTGCTCACATAACAATATCCAACTTGTGTAGGTTCAAGAAGATCTAATACAGAAAAACAACCAACACCTGTGTAGAAGAATTACTAAGATGAACAAAGAGAATTCGTTTTCAAGTATTTCAATGCCAAAGAAAAGAGAAAGGTTTGAAGAAGGGAAGAGATTAGATGCATACACATACAAAAAGCTGTTCCAAATTGCTGGACAAAAGATGAAGAAGATATCTCAAGGAGGTGATCATATTACCACATCTGATGCTTCAATGAAAGTTGATGGAACAATTGTCATGAAATCTTGTTCGGATTCTAAACATGAAAAAAGGCATAGGTAAAAAATCTTGAATCTTGAAATACCTTAATGTGTTTTGGTGGTGTCAAAGGATTTTTATTCCATATATGAAATGCACAATAAAATTACATTGCATTTTTCAGGGTTGCATTGGACTCTAAAGAAGTTTGTTTTGACAATCAAGAATCTGCAAAAGAACATCCCCAAATGGTATTTTATTTCCTGTAGATTTTGTTCAATCTTAATTAGCTATTAATCTAGAATTTCAATTCATGATATTTTCTCTTTTTCATGCTCTGACTTAGGATTGTGATGAGAATGATACTAAGCTCAAAACGGGCCCTACACCTACACGCAGTGCTGAGCTGGCAGAGTTTCAATTGAAGGTATCAAGTGAAGTACATGATCATGTTAACAAACTTTGTGATTATTGGAAAAAAGGTCAGAATTCTGTCTTCTTTGATGGACAGGTGAATTTCTATCTATATATTATATTTATTTCTTTAATGGATTCATTCTCATTTATGCTTAAAAACATTATATTTTGGATGTTACAGGATCGGATAATTAAAGTGGTGTTTTTTGTATTATCATTGCTGGAAAAAGTGAAACAACCTATTTTAATTTTAACTGCTTCAAGATGTCTTTCATTATGGGAATCTGAATTTTCCAAATGGTCAAATTCAACCAATGTTGTAATTACATACAAAGAGAACAAAGATGTGAAGGATGCCATTAGATCATCACAATTCTACACTGAAAATGGATCTATAAAGTTTCAAGTCATTTTATCTTCTCCTGATGCCATTGTTGAGGTACAAAACTAATCATCAGAAATACATATATTAATGCATATAACCTTATATGGATTTTAATTTTACTTTGTTACAGGATTTTGAAAAGCTTGATCACATAAAATGGGAATTGATAGTAATAGACGAATGTCAACGCCCCATAATCTCAAAGCATTTCAAGGAAATTAAAATGCTTGTGTCAGATATGAAACTGTTAACAATTACTAGTGAAATATTGGTATGCTTATTTTTTTTTCAAAAGTTATTTTCATATTATCATTAGCTAATTTGTGTAATTTCAGGATGTGAAGCATAGCTACCAAAATTTTCTTTTGTTGCTTGATTCCAAATATGAAGAGACACACACGGATGCTGACATGGACACCAACACGTTGAAAGAAAAACTATCGCCTTTTATTGCATTTGAATTGAAGTTTAATTCATCTGAAATTGAAGAATATTGGGTTCCAGTTCATCTTTCTCATATGCAAATGGAACAATATTGTTCCTTGTTGAATTCCAACTTTGAGTCACTTTCACTTTCATCATCTTCAAGGAACAATGCTACACTTCATGACATTCTTACCAAAACTCAGAAGGTTTGAATTTGTTCTAGTTTTTTTTTTTTTTTTTTTTTTTTTTTGTAAATGATTCTTAAAATAAAATTGGTATTTATTTATTTATTTTTTCAGTGCTGTGATCACCCGTATCTCGTGGACCCCACTCTGCGTAAATCTTTGAAGAAAGATGTTGACAAATTGGGTGCTGAAATTAATGCAAGTGGGAAACTTCAACTTCTTGATAAGCTTTTGTTAAAAATCAAAAGATGTGGTTTGAGAGTAATTGTTCTTTTTCAGGTAACCAACTTAGCGGCACAGCTTGTTGCCCGTTTGCCATCTCACTCATTGTACGACGATGACAATTAAACATATTGGTTATGATTATATATTCTATATACCTTTTAAATTGCAGGAATTAATAAAATGACACTCTTGGTCCCTGTAGTTTTAATCTTCCAGAATTACATTTGTGGACCATGTAGTTTTTAATTTGCATAAATCACATTTCTGGTCCCTGTAGTTTTAAATTTCCGGAATTACACTTTTGGTCCATGTATTTTTTAATCTGCAAAAAGGAAATAAGTAAAAGACACTTTTGGTCCATAAAGTTTTAATTTTCCGGAATTACATTTTTGGTCCCTGAGGTTTTAGTTTGCATAAATCACATTTCTGGTCCCTGTAGTTTTAAATTTCCGGAATTACACTTTTGGTCAATGTACTTTAAATCTCCAAGAAGGAAATAAGTAAAAAGACACTTTTGGTCTCTATAGTTATAATTTTCTGGAATTACATATTTGGTCCCTGAAGTTTTTAGTTTGCATGAATTACATTTCTGGTCCCTGTAATTTTAATTTTCCAAAATTACACTTTTGGTCCATGTAGTTTTTAATTTGCAAGAAATGAGTGACTTACACTTTTGGTTACTATAGTTTGCAAATTTTTGCACTTTTGGTCCAGGTTTTTATATTTCTTACAAGAAGACTAAATTACATTTTGGGTCCCTGTGGTTTCTATAATTACTTATTTCATCTCTCTTAAATTACACAAGTAATCTTAATTCTTACATACCACCTTTTATATTATTTTATCCGGTCAAAAATATAAGATTAATAATCTTTTTTTAACATGGGATGCAGTCAGTGGTTAGTTCAGAAAAGATAACAATTGGAGATATTTTGGAAGATCTTGTTGATAGAAGATTTGGGCAAGATTCATACGTACGTATCCAACCAAAGATTCTTTCAATATCAAAGAGAAAAGAGGCTGTAAACATGTTCAACAACATCGAGAGTGGAGCGTTTATTTGCTTATTAGATTATCACGATTGTCAATCAACGATTAGACTTTCATCAGTGGATATAGTCATACTATTCAACAGTGAGTGGAACCCTTCAGATGACTTAAAAGCCCTTCACAAGCTTTCTCTCGATTCTTCGCATTTACGAATCTTCCGCTTTTATTCCTCTTTCACCATTGAAGAAAAATCTCTCATTCTGTCAAAACAAGGCACGATTCTCGACAGCAGAACAGATCGCATTAATTACAATACTTGCCATCGCCTCCTTTCATGGGGTGCATCTTACTTGTTCGATAACATCTCCACTGAGTCAAAGTCAAAATCAAAGTCAAAGTCAAAGTCAAAGTCAAAGTCAGACACTAGTTTAGATGATTTGGTTCACGAGTTGTCATCCATGTTTCTGAATAAAACTGAGGATACTGATCGTTTAAAAAGCTTAATCATATCAAAAGCACTGATACACGATGGAGTTTATTCTAAAGATATCATATTGATGGGTGAAACTGAAGCACACACAAAGGAAAGTTGCTCAATTGAGGAGTACTTGATGGAAAATGAACCAAATAATTTTTGGAGTAATTTGTTCAAAGAAACTCATCATATCCATACACCGCAAAAATCGTCTAGCAGGCTGCATCGGAGGGTAAAAATGTCATTCCGCAACCCTTATTACTGGTTTGGAAGATATGAAGTTGAAAGTGAAAGCGATACAGAGAATATTGAGAAGAATGTAATTACTTCAACTTTTGTGAGAACAAAAGTGAGGAGTAAAAGAAAAGCACGCAACATGACAGGTATACAAGAAAATCTGAGTTTTAAAAACAATATATGTTTGATTTTTTTTTTTTTTAAGTGTTCCTAATATGGTGACATTTTTCATACAGGGGCATCCAAACATTTTCTTATACAACATTCAACACAATTACCATATTCAATTCCTTCATTTTCAAGTACAAATAATGTTGGTGAATCCCCTAACAATCAACCTCCACAACCACAAACTTTACCCATGATACCATCGGTTTCTGATCAAAATTCCATTACTACCCCTCTTGAAACAGAGCTACAAAACATCAAGAAGGAGCAAGAGCAAGTCACAAAGCTGCATCAAGAAAAGGTTTCCTACTAAAAAAATTGAACACACATAATACATGATACATGACACGTAGCCTTTTTCTATAATCTAATGATTATTATTTTATTTGTAGAAATCGATGCTAAATTCCGAGTGTGAAAAAGAGATGTTAGAGATACGGAAAAAGTACGATGGTTTGATAGATGAATCTGAGATGTGTCTAACAAAAAAGATGAAGGTTCTAGAAGGATATTATGATCTTGTGTATGCCAATAAAGTATTGGCCGAGACTTTGACAAAGGATTGTGATGATTATCTCAATAAAGGTATGGGAGTTGGAATCTTTTATTCATCTTTTTTAAACATCAATTTGATTATTTTTTGTATTTGTTTTGATCACAGAAATGAGGGGAGTGAGGATTGTTGAAATCCCTGCATCGACACTTGTACAATCACAGAACCGATGTACAACAAGTGGCCATACTTTGCGTGCTCCAGCTCCTCATTTAAGGTCAAATCCGTCATTATTTGCATCATTTCAAAGAATGCCAGTATTGGGTTCAAATTAGGGCGCTTGCATTTTTAGAGCTATATCTTTTAGTTGGAAGTATAGACACATACATATGTACACATTTCATGTCAACATTATCATAGGTTTACTTTACAAGGTAAATGAGGACAAGGTTTACAAGTACAAATACTCTATCTTTGTTTCTAATTATCTGCTAATGTAAAACTTAAAGAGATGAACATTACAGATATAAATTCTGCTTTTCCTACATGAGTTTATGCTTGTGATTATCTTTTGTTTTGATGAGATTTGTTGGCTAAAGATGAAAGGACAAATGAATATACACTTTAATTATGAGTATTTGATTCGATCCTTCCTCTTGTTTCAGAGTATAAAAATGTGAGTTAAATCTTTGGAGGGTGTGCGCGTAATTGTGGGTTGATGAATGAGAGATTAGTTTATGTGATTGTGGAAATTTGTCATATATCTATATAATTCTTTAAAGTAATTAGATGATTCTTGGGGGATCTATCTATCTTGGTATTATATAGGTCACCATGTCATTAAAGTTGAAGAAAGGAGAGAACAACTCAATTGTGTCATGTTTGTGTGTTGAACCTTTTACCATGTTAAAAATAAGAAGGAACCGCACATTATATACCTTCGGCTAACACTTTCACTTGTTTTCCTTGTACTTTGTTACTATAGTAATAATTTGCTTGATTTTCCAAAAAACTTTCACTAAAGGTGTGGAGTACATTCCTCCTAAAGTGAATTAGGAAAATTTAAGGTGTCAATATGTGTAAAAAAACTTATAGCTAGGGTCTTAGAATCAAATTGTATCTTGTCTTTTGTTAGTTTCGGTTCACCTGGTTTATGAGTCTCTAAACCATTAACTCATAACAAATATTGTTATTATTGATTGGTTCGGGTCAAAACACTCATTCTTTTGGTAATTTGAAATGGATGGAATCGGGTTGAATGGATTCTTAACATTTTTTTATAAATTATTAGTGTTAAATATGATTACAAAAACTATATTATTGTTTAATATAATAATATAATTGAGGTTATCTCATATATATCTATAAATCTCTTTTATAATTACAAATCAATGTACTTCAAGATAAATCTTTTTTTTATTATTATTTTTTTAATAATATGAGTGAACACCATTGGGTACTTGTCTAAATTTTACAAAACAATGTTCTGAAACTAGAACTAACGTTGCATTGATCACAATGAATTTTCGACCAACCATGGAACCAATTGTGATCATCATTTCCAATAGAAGTCAAAAAGACAAAGGATTAACAATACAATGGTATTTTTTTACACACCACCCTATCACACATCTATCACGCATCAGTCTAGTTTTTTAAACATTTAAATCTTGAAAATTATGTGCAGATTCATTACTTTCTACTGCAATAATAAGCTATAAATAAGCACATATTTTTTTTTCTTTTCTAAACTCATTTGTTGCCTTTCTTCTTCTTCTTCTTTTGTCCTTTTCTATTTTTTTTTTCTTCTTTTTAAGATATGTGTCTTATTTTTATTGTTTGTTATATCTTCTTTTATATTTTGAGATTTTAATTAGCAAAAATAAACGATCAACTTATTTAATAACATTAAATTAATTATCTAAATTTTTTAAAATCATTATTTATTAATATTATGATTTATTATTTTATTTATCTTTGATTTGTAATTTTCTTTTAAAAACTTTTATTGTCGTTTTATTCGAATATGTAGATTTAATGTTGTTTTTTTTTTTTTTTTTGATGTTTTGTTTGTTTTTGTAACTTTTTGAAGTTATGTTCGTTTATATTATTTAATCTTAACTTTTTGACGTTTTATCCGTTTATTCGAAACCTGCTCTTAACAAAATTGAATCATTCGAATCCGTAATTTTCTGTACGATATATAATTATTTTATAAAGTTTTTTTTGTGAAAAAAGTGTAAAAAATATGATCAAACATTGTAAAAAGTTTAATGAAAAGTTGAAAAAAGTAAGAAAAAATTATAAACAATATGAAAAACGTCAAGTGCAAACTTGTACAAAAATTTAAAAAGATGAAAATATTTTAAAAAAACATTTTAAAAATAAAAACTTGAAAGATGTAAGTAAAACAAGATTAAAAAGAATGAAAAATATTAATAAAAAAGTTGTAAAACAATTTAAAAAGTTTGACGTTTTGTTCGAATATGATATTTAATCTTGTCTTTTGACATTGTATTCGTTTTTCGATTATACATTGGCTAATCCAAAACGGTAAATAAATAATAAATTTGTATGTATATATATATACCGCATATAAATAATAAATTTGTGTGTGGTATATATATATATATATATATATATATATATATATATATATATATATATATATATATATATATATATATATATATATATGGGTTGAGATCAGTTGAGAACTCATAGTTTCCCGAAAACCCGAGAACTAAAAGTGGACCGTTGGATTGGATTTAAGATCATAAGGGTAAGATTGTCTTTTACACTTTTTTATTACTTTAATTACGTAACTACATCTGTACGATTTTCTTTCCAAAATATCATCTTCTAACCTTCAAAATTATCAAAATCAACGACGAAATCATAGAAAATCTACATCGATCGAATAGTTATCGCTGTTAACGCAAATTCGAGATCGATTTCAAAGCAAAATTCATACGATTCGTCATTGATTTCTTTCGAGGTTATCATCTTATCTTAAATTCATACGATTATATCAATGAAGGAAAAAACAGATTACCGAATATTTTACTTTTTATTTGGATATTTAAATACAGTAGCATTCGGATTTCTAATACGTTGTTTTATTGAATGTAAATTTAGAGTTTTTTCAGCAATTTAATGGATTCAGAAAGAATAATTGAAGATCTGCAAAGCGACATAAATTTTTTAGCAGGTAATGATTCATAACTTTTTTAAGAATTAACGTATGGTATTAAAATTTACTTAATTGATATTCATATTAAAATCACATATGAATAATATATGAATCACATATTCATATATGAATCATATATAAGTCATATGTTGTTCATATTTGATTTGTATTTAAAATCAAATATGAATTATATGTGAATCATATTTGATTCATATGACAATCACATGTGAATAATATGTGTTTCCATGTAAATCAAATTGTATTCAAACATTATTTTCATTTTAATTACATACAATTATGATAAATAAATATATGATTTTAATAAGTGATGTTGATGAAGAATCTAGTGAATTTAACATAAATAATGATGATATATATGTTGAAGATGCATTTTTCAATGATATTATTGAAGAGGATGAGCAACTTTCTTCAACATCCCAATCAAATGATAATGAAGAAGGTAAGTTTCTATTAATATTAATCTTGATTGTAACTAAAATATTACTTTGATTTTAAATGACATGTTTTCCTATATATGATTTGATTTAATATTATTTAATTTGCAGCAAAACATTTTGAATCAGAAGATGAAGATGAATTAAGCTGCATAAAAGTAAAATCTCCTTGTGGCACAAAAACAATTGAGTGGATCCCAAGAGTTGATGAATCATTCCTGCCAAAGAAAGATATGGTGTTTGAAACATTAGATCATGAAATTCAGTTTTACCAAAAATATGCAAAGAAAGCAGGATTTGATTGCAGACTTGCATCAAATAAAACGATTGATGGTATTTTACAATACAAGTATGTGATATGCAGTAGGGCTGGTGAAACAGATAAGAAAAATGCTGACACTTTGAATGGAGTAGAAGGCAGACAAAAAAGAAAACATCCAAGCCAAATGATGTCTTGCGAAGCAAAGATATGTTTCAAATTTATAAAAAATATTGATCGGTTTTTCATTAATACATTTGTTGAAAAACACAACCATGAGCTCTACACAAACAGTACAGTGCACATGTCAAAGTCGAAAAGAAAGTTGAATCATTATGACAAGACAATTATAACTCAGTTAAGCACATCAAATATAGGAGCAAGCAAAACACATAGCATGGTTACTGGTTTAAAGGGTGGTTACAGTAAACAAGGTGCAAAGAAAATCGACTACAAAAAATTTTCAAGAGACTTAAACTGCTATATAGGAGATAGTGATGCAAATATGTTGATAAATCTTTTAACACTACAACGTAAAAATGTGCCTTCTTTCACTTTTCATTATTTGTTGGAGGATGATGAGCTAAGGGCACTGTTTTGGGCAGATGCAATAGCAAAAAGAAACTACAAAGAATTCTCTGATGTGGTATCATTCGATGCTACATACAAAACAAACAAGTAAGTAATACTTAATTCCTTTAATATTTATATATTAAAATATTTGCATTTAGTATTTATGTTAAATATTTTAATGATTTTCAGATATAATATGATCTTTGTTCCATTTACTGCAATTGATAACCACAAAAGATGTGTCACAATTGGTGCTGGTTTGCTAGCTAAAGAAACAACAAAATTCTATACATGGCTTCTCAGATGCTTTCTCAATTGCTTTGGTAGACAACCTAATGTTGTGGTCACTGGTCAAGATTCAGCTATGGCTAAAGCTGTAGAAACCGTTTTTAATGAATCAACTCATCGTCTTTGCATGTGACACATTGGAAAGAAATTAACAGATAAGGTAAAATTGTATTATAATGTTTAAATAAGTTTTCATTTATAATTTGACTTATAATGTAACATCCTGATTGATCATTTATGATCTTTGAGTTTTATTCGTGGAACGTTGAGGCTGTGATGAGTTACTAGAAGCGTAGGGCTTCTCATCACCTTTCCGGGGATATAAAGTTCGTTGGAAACGGACTTGTAACGAAGAAGCTACGACAGTTTGAAGTTTTGGCAAGTTTAGTCCTTATTTTGAGATGTGTGGCAGTTGAGTACACGGGGCGTAATTATGTGTACGCTCGACGTACTCATATGCGTGGAAGAGACGCGAAGGCCACCTAGTACGCTGGGCGTACTAGGTCCTGGAAGAAAACCCTAATGTTTTGGAGTATCCCTATTTTAGGAACAATATGCCCTCATATTCAGCCATCATTTCCAGCATCTTACTTCCTTCAAAACCCTAAATCTCGTTTCTTAGCTTGTGTGAGCATTGGAGGCTTATGAAGTGATCTTGTGCGATTCTTTTGAGAAGAAGGAACTTTGAATGAAGAAGAATTGTCATTCAAGCTTTTGGATCTGAGTTTCCTTGAGGATGGAGCATCATTCAGAGGTATCAAGCTCAAAACTTTGCTCTTATTTTGCATAGTTCATTTAATGGTCCATTTAGGGTTTATGTCCCCAAAGCTTGAAGCTTTATGAGTTGGTCAACCCCAGAGCCTTATACTTGTCCTCTTTGATGTCTTTAGACGGTAGAAGTTCA